TTCTCTGTTATTCTACTAGTCTTCCTCCCTCCCTCCTTTCTCTCCTTCCTTCCTTCCTTCCTTCCTTCTCTGTTATTCTACTAGTCTTCCTCCCTCCCTCCCTCTCTCCTCCCTCCCTCCCTTCTCCATCACTGGAGGTTTTCAAGAAGACCCTGGACAACCATTTGTCAGAAATATTATAGGGTCCCCTGCCTCAGCAATGGGTTGGACTAGATGACCTCCAAGGGTCCCTTCCAACTCTCTCTAAGCAGAGAGGAAACTCCGAATCCCATCTTATCCTACATCTAGATTGAGCACCCAAATGGGAAAAGCCTGCCCAGGAGGCTAATCTGGATGCAACAAAGGATGATTAAAAGCAGTTTAAAGACGGTTTTAAATATATACATATATATAAATCCATAGATATATAATACATCTAGCCTAATAGGGCCCTGTGGAGTAGCTACGTTACGCAGGCTGTTCTCAACTTACAACCGTTCATCGTCTGGCGTCTGCTCTCTGTGCAAAATCCGATGGTTCTTTTTTTCCTTCTTTCCTTCCAGTTCTACAGGATTCTGGGTTTGCGGGTGGCTCTCGTCGGCGCTGAAGTCTGGAATAACGGCAACCGGGTGTCGACAAGCGGAAGCACAAAAGAGATTCTCCAGCGGTTCCTGGAGTGGAGAGAGAAGGATTTGCTGCCCCGGATTCCCCACGACAACGTCCAGCTCATTGTGTAAGACGTCAGGCGCAGGCAGGATCTTGGGTCAGCAAGAGGACTAGCAACTTGGGGTTTTTTTTACAATGTATTTTTGATTAGCTCAGTGCAAAAAATGGAGAGAGAGAGAGAGACAGACAGACAGACACACACACACACACACAGAAACTTAGAGAGACAGACACACAGAGGGAGAGATACAGAGAGACAGAGAGACAAAGAAAGAGGAACAAAGAATGAAAGAAAGAGAAAGAAATAGAAAAAAGAAAGAAAGAAAAAAGAAAGAAAAAGAAAAAGAAAGAAAGAAAGAAAGGAAGGAAGGAAGAAAGAAAGAAAGAAAGAAAGAAAGAAAGAAAGAAAGAAAGAAAGAAAGAAAGAAAGAAAGAAAGAAAGAAAGAAAGAAAGAAAAGAAAGAAAGAAAGAAAAGAAAGAAAGAAAGACAACTTGGTGTAGAGTTGTAGCATCAAGCTAGAAACCGTGAGGCCGTGAGTTCTTAGGCACAAAGCCATTCAGGTGACCTTGGGCCAGTCCCTTTCTCTCAGCCCCCGGAAGGAGGCAATGGCAAACTGCTTAACGCAGAATATAGAACAAGAAGAGTTGGAAGGGACCTTGGAGGTCATCTAGTCCAACCCAGTGCTTGAACAGGAGTCTATCAATTTGCACTTTCTGCAAAAAAAAAACCTTGTCCAGGGAACTGCAGGATCCACTCCAGGCATTTGCTAGGAGTCGACACTGACACATACACAAACGCACACACACACACAAAGGCAAAAGGAGAAAAAAAAAAGGAAAGGAGAGAGAAAATTACAAAAGAAGGAAAACCCCGAAACCCACAGAAGGGAAACCACGCTTGGCGATTGTCCTCTGTGGGTTGGTGCCTATATGAATTCATCCTTCAAAGGGACTAGCCACTTGGGTGCCAGAATCCAGAAACTAGGGAGGGGCGGAGCCCTGCAGAGGGTGGGTCTTACAGAGCTAAGGGGAGGAGCTAGTCTCCTCCTATCCCTTCCCTCTGCTACCACAAGATTCCCAAGTGACTGGGGGGACATTTCCCCTTGCCTGTTAAACGTGGGGTAACCCCTCCCACCAAACCCCAAATCCTCATTACGGGGGTCCTTCAAACTTCCAACCCGCTTAAAACCATTGTGGCACAACTCCTGCAAAACCACAGAACTCTTGAGTTTAATTTTTGCTTTGTTTTGGGCGGGTTTATTCATGCAAACTCTTCCTTTTCCGCCATAGCGGCCCTCCGTTTCCCGCCGGGGTCATCGGCGCGTCGACCCAAGGATCCATTTGCTCAAAACGATCCGGTGGGATCAGCATGGTGAGTCGAAGAGGAGGAGGGGGGAGGGGCTTCTCGGCGACGGGGGGAGAGGGGGCTTGCAAAAACATGGCGAGGGTCCCTTTGTTTTTTTTTGTTTTTTTACTCCCTTCGGCCGCTTAGCCCGGAAGAACCGCGGCCGATTAGCAAGAAGATCAAAGATTCCCCAAGATAAATTAGATGTGTCAAATTTTACAGGTGGCCTTTAAACTTAAACTTCCCTTTCAATAAATCTGGTTAAAGAAAACTCAGAAAATCTTCGCTTTCGGGAGACAGATGGTTCTCCACATACTGTCAACTCATAAAACAATACTGTATATATGTTTTATAGTTGACAACAGAAAGAATTGGGGAAAGTTTCAAAGAACAGACGGCAGTGTGGAATCGAAAGTCCATTCTATTCATATTTTCTTCAAAGACTGATTAGATGACTGAAGCTTCTGTCGTGCAAAAATCTAACTGGAGAGCATGATTGACGACTCTGGGCTATGGATGTGTTTCGTTGGATGATATACCCAGAGGGGTGGGGGGAAAAGCAGGATCAAGGGTGACAGACAGTGAAGTACGTATCTCAGAGTTGGCTACACCCAGGTTAGTGCAGGACGTAGAATGTTAACTTCAAATAAATCTTTGTAAGTTTTGGGAGTGTGGCTCAAGGCTCATGATTTAATCAGAGCAACGGTTGGAATCCTGACACTTATGAGCTTTTCTTGAAGCATCCATTCCAGGTTACAAGCCACTTTAAAAAGAGAGTTACGACCAATCCTCAGACTTACGACCATTGCAACATTCCCACGGTCAAGGGATTGAAATTTAGAAACCTGGCGACTAGCACCAATTGACGGCAATTACAAGCATCCTGGGATAGTGTGAACACCACTTCCTAGCTGGCTTCTGAATTATGACCCCCGGGTCATGAGAATGCCGCGATGGTCGTAAGGGCGAGGACCGGCCGTAAGTCACGTATTAGTGCTGTTTTGAACGTCGAACGGTTGCTAAATGAATTGTTATACGTCGAGGCCTTTAGAAACTAGTTGTTTTGCATGAAGCTGGAAGTGTACAATTCCCTTTTCTTGATTCCTGGTTTGTTTTCCGCCCCAGGGCCACTCCATTAGCTCCTTAATCATGGCTTCCACTCTTTCACACCAACTTGGCCACAATCTCGGTCTCGCCCACGACAGCGACGGCTGCGGCTGCAACACTTCCATCCGTCCCCAGAGCCGGAAGTGCATCATGGAAGCACCGACCGGGTGAGTGTGCGAATGTCTTCCTGGCTCCCAAAGTCAGCTTCCATTTTTCCTAGTTCATTTTTCCGGGAACTGGAGAATTTCTCGCTGGTTGTTTTTTTTTCCCCAGAGTGATTTGAAACATCGCGGAGCATTGGAAGTGAAAAACAAAATAATAAAAGAGAGTTGGAAGGGACCTTAAAGGTCTTCTAGTCCAACCCCTGCTCAGGCAGGAAACCCTATCCCATTCCAGACAAATGGTTCTCCAACATCTTTTAAAAAACTTCCAGAGTTGGAGCACCCACAACTTCTAGTGGCAGGCTGTTCCACTGTTTAATTGTTCTGTTGGAAAGTTTCTCCTTAGTTCCAGGTTGCTTCTGTCCTCGGTTAGTTTCCATCTGTTGCTTCTTGTCCTGCCTTCTCAGGGGCTTTGGAGAATAGACTGACCCCCTCCCTTTTCTTTGGGGTAGCCGCTCAAATATTGAAACAAATTTCCTGACAGTGAGAACAATTAACCAGTGGAACCGCTTGCCACTAGAAGTTGTGGTTGCTTTATCACTGGAGGTTTTCAAGAAGAGATTGGATAACCATTTGTCTGAAATGCTAGAGGGTCTGCTGCTTGAGCAAGTGGGTGGGCTAGAAGACCTCTGAGGTCCCTTCCGACTCTGTTATTCTGTCTTCTGGGCAGGGGGTCAGACTAGAAGATCTCTTAGGTCCCTTCCAACTCTGTTATTCTCTATTCTGGGCAGGGGGTCAGACTAGAAGATCTCTTCGGTC